CGAGAGTTTGCGGATAACGTATTGTGCATCAATGATAATATCAATTATGCAAACGAAAGAAACGAAGCTGGCATTATACTGAAACTGTACCAACTAAAAGATTTTGACCGGGTGGACCACGTGTAGTCATCAAATACGTTAAAAGCTCTCAACTTTGAACCAAACTTATTGAATTGGATTGAAGTTATGATATGTTATCATATTATAAGTATTTTAGGCATATTCATGGGAAATGATCATAATTTAGCTACCACAAAAACCTGGGAAATGCGCGTTATCAAATGCATTCAAATCCTCAAACAATGGAGTCGCCGGAATTTGACCTTTTGCGGCAGAACGATAGCTGCAAATACCCTCGTAGCTTCAACTCTGTGGTATACGATGTCAGTATGCAGTATACCGGACACCCATCTTGCCTTAGTGAAAAAAAGTATATTTGAATTTTTCTGGAGTAGAAACAAACATCTAATTAAACAAAACGTGATTACAAACTCGGTACGTAACGGTGGCCAAAACCTCGTCGACATCGAGTTTAAAAAACGCATTTCGGTCAAAATGGATTGAGAAGTTGATGGACAAAGATTTAAAAGTACTTAATGTTGTATTTTCTGAATAAATATAAAGCTTCTTTAAAATTAATATAAATAAAGCACAGATGAATAACATTCCGCCATTTTATAGTAAAATACTTGAAGCATGGGGTGAGGTTGCAAATGGCAACCGCTGGACCCCAAATATAAAAAATTATGTAATGTATGAACCGATATTTTGTATTCTTTTCATTGTCCATGCCACTAAATCTCCGTTTTTCGAATTACCTATGAGTTTGCTCCTCCCATGCTATTAACGAGGATGTTAATGCTGCTGATATCACCGACAAGAGCCGACGTGCAGAGGGTGAGAGGAAACACAACATTATTTTAAATTCACTACCTCACGACTGGCGCCTTTTTGTAGAAGCATGTTTCCTCGAATGTTTTTGATACATTGGATGTGGCGTTGCAATTTGAACAAAGCAAGGCCACACACATCTATGAGCTGTTCACAAGTCAATTAACGAAACTTGTCCGCTCTTGTCGGGAGAAACGCACACCTGATCTATATGAGCCTGTCTGTAAATAAATACTGGGAGAGTAAATTTACAGATTTGGACTTTACAAGTATTTGAAAAAATATTTAGGGAGGAATAAAAGAAGAATATATAAGTGATGTAGAATATCTCATAGTTCACAACAGTGTGATAACTAATATTACTTTACACAAGGCAGTCAAAATAGAAACCCCCTTAATCGCAAGTTTCTTTAAAAAAATAATTCTATGTAATTTCACATGCATGTACTTGAAATAGCAAAGTAAATCACGTTACTGTGACTTTTTAACAAGACAGGCCAGTGGGTCTCGTCTTTTCAAGAAAACAATTCAAAATTCTGAACATTTAGAATTCAACTGACTTCCTTTTATTCGTGTGTGTTTCAATACGTGTCACGAGCGTTAGGCAAATGTGTCAAATGCGAACAGGGCGTGTGGCGCAACGGATAACGCGTCTGACTACGGATCAGAAGATTCCAGGTTCAAATCCTGGCATGCTAGGTATTATGGCACATGTATTAGTTTTCAAGTTATATATGTATGTTTTCATTACAACATCAACTTTACGACAGAGCAACTGCACCTACACTAAATACGTGTCATATTAATCCCAAAATATGTTTCATGTCTCACGCATGTTATTGGTGAACACCGGTGGGACCAAAGTGTGTATGAACATCTGAAGGTCAAATGAATCGGCTGGACCAAAATTTGTCTGTCTCAAGCCTGTCATCGATGAACGCTATTGTGACCGACGAGCGTTACGGCCAAACAGACAATGCAAACTATAATTCAAAATTCTGAACATCCAGAATTCAATTGACTTCCTTTTAATTGCGAAGTATTTCAATTGTTTCAATACGTTTCACGGGCGATAGGCAACACATCGAATGCGAACAGGGCTCGTGCTGCAACGGATAACAAGTCTGACTACGGATCAGAAGATTCCAGGTTCGAATCCTGGCACGCTCGGGTTTATGGCACATGCTTTAGTTTGCATTTTATAGATGACTGTTTTCATTACAACATCAACTTCACGACAGAGCAACTGCATCTCCAATAAACATGTGTCATATGAATTCCAGAATCTGTTTCATGCATCACGCGTGTCATTGGTGAATACCGGTGGGTCCGATGAGCGTATGAACATCTGCAGGTCAAATGAATCGGCTGGACCAAAATTGTCCATGTCTCAAGCCTGTCATCGATCAGAAGATTCCAGGTTTGAATCCTGACACGGTCGGTAATATGGCACATGTTTTAGTTAGCAAACTATAATTCAAAATTCTGAACATCCAGAATTCAATTGACTTAACTTTTAATTCCTAAGTATTTTAATTGTTTCAATACGTTTCACAAGCGTTAGGCAAAGCATCAAATACGAACAGGGGTTGTGCTGCAACGGATAACGAGTCTGACTACGGATCAGAAAATCCCATTTCGAATCTTGGCATGCTCGGGTTTATGGCCTTTTTTTAGTTGTCAATTTATATATATATATATGTTATCATTACAACATCAACTTCACGAAAGAGCAACTGACACATCACATGAATTCCAAAGCCTGTTTTGTGTCTTACGCGTGTCATTGGTGAACACCGGTGGGTCTGATGAGCGTCTGAATATCAGCAGGTTTCTGCCGTTCCAAAATGTGCATGTCTCAAAACTGTCATCGATGAACGCTATTGTGACCGACGAGCGTTACGGCCAAACAGTCAACGTATACTATAATTCAAAATTCTGAATATCCAGAATTCAATTGACTTAACTTTTAATTCCGATGTATTTCAATTGTTTCAATACGTGTCACGAGTGTTAGGCAAACGCATCAAAGGCGAACAGGGCGTTTGGCGTAACGGATAACGCGTCTGACTACGGATCAGAAGATTTCTGGTTCAAATCCTGGCACGCTCGGTATTATGGAACAAGTATGAGTTTTAATTTTATAAATGTCTGTTTTCATAACAAGATCAACTTCACGACAGAGCAACTGCACTTGCAATAAACATGTGTCATATGAATCCCAAGATCTGATTCATTTTCTCACACATGTCATTGGTGAACACTGGTGGGACCGATGAGCATATGCATGAGCTAATGCATCAAAGGCGAACAGGGTGTGTATTTCAATTGATTCAATATGTCACTGGCACGGGCCGGAAACAATTTGGCAATGTTTGGTCTAGCTATCTTTACCACATTACAGTTCATATACAAGACGTATGGTAGTATATATTTTATTATATTCGTCACCATCGGAAATATGTCTTACAATAATCGCTTACAGCGTCAAGTGAGAATAATTATAATTATATTAATTATGCATAGACTATAAATTTAAAGAAAGCATACAGTACTGTTAATATTTAAATCAGTTTGTACGTAAACAAAATAAACTTTAAATAATGTATAAATGTCCCAACTATGTTGATTTCAAGAATGACAGTGGCTGAGCACGGGTTGAGGATACGATG